AGATAGTAACTCGTGGCCTCAAGATACTAACTCGTGGCCTCAAGATAGTAACTCGTGGCCTCAAGATACTAACTCGTGGCCTCAAGATACTAACTCGTGGCCTCAATATAGTAACTCGTGGCCTCAAGATAGTAACTCGTGGCCTCAAGATACTAACTCGTGGCCTCAATATAGTAACTCGTGGCCTCAAGATAGTAACTCGTGGCCTCAAGATACTAACTCGTGGCCTCAAGATAGTAACTCGTGGCCTCAAGATAGTAACTCGTGGCCTCAAGATACTAACTCGTGGCCTCAAGATAGTAACTCGTGGCCTCAAGATAGTAACTCGTGGCCTTAAGATAGTATCTTGAGATAGTATCTTGAGGCCACGAGTTACTATCTTGAGGCCACGAGTTACTATCTTGAGGCAACAAGATAGTTATAGTTAATTTTTTTTGCCAAAGTGGGACTAGGGGGGCTCCGTAGAATAGTACGGAGCCCCCCTAGTCCCACTTTGGCAAAAAAAAAATTGATACTATCTCGTGGCCTCAAGATAGTAACTCGTGGCCTCAAGATAGTAACTGGTGGCCTCAATATAGTAACTCGTGGCCTCAATATAGTAACTCGTGGCCTCAATATAGTAACTCGTGGCCTCAAGATACTAACTCGTGGCCTCAAGATAGTAACTCGTGGACTCAAGATAGTAACTCGTGGACTCAAGATAGTAACTCGTGGCCTCAAGATAATAACTCGTGGCCTCAAGATACTATCTCGTGGCCTCAAGATACTAACTCTGTCTTGAGGCCACGAGTTCAAATATTGAATAGAAAAATAAAACACTGATAATTGATTACTAGTATACTGTATTCTAATCACCCAAATGAAGTCTCTTGAGGTGGGCACACTGGTAGGGTTGCACAGGCAGATGTGACTGGGAGGCTGACTCAGCCAGTGGCCTGCAGGGACGTGCTGTTTTTCACCCTATGGGGGAGCAGTTAGAACGGCATATCCTATTCTGCATGCACACAGCAGGTTAATTTGGAGGAAACCCTCTGGGTCTCCCAGCAGGTGAGGTCTGAGACACATCATGGCTCTTATTGTACAGCAAAACAATATTCGACTCCCTATCCCATTAGAAGCATGTTAAAAACAATGTAATTATCAATTAAAACAAAACAGATGCAGTCTGTGAGTATACAAATGCATAATTGTTATTTGGCAGTGGCTTTTTATTTAGAGCATCTCCCAGTGAGATAATTGTGGAGACGGTCCCGCTGGAGCAAACCTGGGGTGAGGCGTCTCTCTCAAAGAGACAATAGTGAAAACAGCAGCAAAGCAGATGAAAGTTGCCTCAGACTGGGATCCTGCTCTGAACATTTGTGATGGAAGCATAGATACTTGCAGTAACTGTTACACAGACACTGTGTGGGTTTGTATCTGGATATGTGCAGAGGAAAGGGTAAACTGAGAACAAAAATCAATATTTCCTCCTTATTAATGCATGACTAATCCTTCATTCAAATATATTTGGCATTCTCAACACCACATGGTCTCTCATACAATCTAGAACAAATATATCAGAGCAGCTCTCCCCAATTATTTCTGTCTTATGATCTTATTGAACATGGTAATAACTGAAAAATGTGTGATAAAATAAACTACTAAATAAACTCTGTCTGTCCAATTAATGGACAGACAGATAGCAGGATAGATAGATGCAAAATCCATTTGTGAAATCCATATCATTAATTTTGTCAATGCACAATCAATACATCACAAAGCAATACATGTTAGCTACATCTGGCTGTGGTTTCATTATAATTCCAACAAGTGCTGTCTGTTAATGAGAGGCACAATCTGGCATAAGATGTTTTGAAATGAGATGCTATTGAAAGTAGCACATGGTTGAGTGGTTGCCAATGGTGATTAAGTGAAAGTGGCCCGTATAGAAAACAATGCCTATAGCTATATTTATCTGAAAAACCATACAATGCATTGTGCTTAATTTGTAAAACAGACTGGATTTTTCTAGTTTTAGTGAACTTAATATTTTTCCAATTCAGTTTTTCCAGTTATTCAAAGAACGCTAAATTAACATGACAAGTTAAGTAAATTCTTCATCTGGGAATGAAAGACTGGGAATTAAAGAATGTGGAAAATAGTCATGAAAACGACACTCGGTTACAAACGTAAGTTTGGTTCTCTCTAGTAACTACAGGAAAATCCCTTTTTTTTTGAGAATACCGAAGCCAAAAACCAATTCTTTAATTTTTCTTAATGTAAAACAGATTGTTGCACAGAGCAGAGCTAGGCGAGGCAGCTTGCACCCCTATTATTTGCTCTGTGGCAAATGCTGCAACCTATCGATGGACTGGTCATGGCGTACGCACCAATGAGGGCGCGGGCGCCATCTTTTAGGGGGCGCTCTCGCTTGTGTAATTGTACTCAGCACTCCAACTGGTAGGTCAGCGGGTATCCATTGACAGTCCACATGTGCAGTGCCCATAAGTCAGGGCGCGGGTGCCAAGTCACGGCCTGAGAGAGGAGGTCCTTTCTCAACAGGATCGGCCACTGAGCTGTGCTCGTGAGCTGCATCAGTTCCAGAAACAACACACGGTTCCTCCAGAATGGTGCTACTAGGAGCAAGGATGGCTTGCTTTCCCTGATTCGCTTAATCACCTGTGGTATCAGTGCGATTGGGGGAAACGTGTAAAGCGGGTGGCTGGGCCAGTTGAGGGCCACCGCATCCCTGTTCTTCATGAAGAACTTGGTGGCCTGGCACGTGTGGTGCTGTGAGCGAGCGCAGATGGGTCTGGGTCTATTCCAGGAGGCGTTCTGCCCCAGTAAGAAGGCGCCCTGGTCTGAGACCGCCTTGGCGATTTATGTAAAACACTACTGCCATATTGTCCATTCGAACTAGGACATCGTGGCCTTTTAAGAAAGGGAGAAAGAACTCCAGGGCGTTCACGGCCGCTATCATTTCCAGACAGTTTATGTGTAAATGCCTCTGTTGGGCCGTCCAACAGCCAAAGGCTGAGTTGGTGGCGTCTGTCGAGATAGTTTTTCGTGATGAGATCGTTCCCAGACTAACACCTGACTGGTACCAGTCGGACACTCTCCAGGGTTCCAGCGCTGTGACACAGCTGTGGGTTATCCCAAGAGTAAACCACCGGAAGCCCATGCCCATAGCGGGACTCGTGTTTTCAGCCAGCGCTGGAGGGGTTGCATGCAGAGCAGACCCAACCGAAGCACTGCTGAAGCTGAGGCCATAAGGCCTAGCTGCCTCTGAAAACTTTCGAGAGGGAAGATACTGCCAGCTTTGAATGACTCCACTGAGCGCTGTGACATATTTGTTTTAAGTAATTTAAAAAAAAAATCATTTCATGTTCATTTGTAAATAAAAATAAAATCAAAATAATACAAAATACACTGTTTTATGCCTTTTTTCATACATGTTTTAAAGTTATTAATTAAATAAATGTTAACCTGTTTTTCAAGATTGGGATGTTTGTTTTGTGAAGTAATAGGGGAATCAAGTTGCGTGTTATACAACACTTAATGTATTTAAAAACAATTGTTTAAAGCTTATGCAGTTGATAAATAAATAACATAATTCAGCTGGCATTTTACATATTTCCTCTAGATATAGCAAATACAAAGATTCATGGAACTACTGTAAAAAATTCAGTTATTTACTGTAATCAGAGAATACAGTAAAAATCTCTAAATTAAATTACAAAACTATACTGTAAAAAATACAGTAACTGGCTGGCAACGCTGCATACTAGTCAGAACTGAATTGTTGATATCTGAATGACAGATCCCCATAGAAGTCAATGGCAAAAAATAAATAAAAAATAAATAAAAATTAAAAGTTAAACACAAAATAATAGTTACTAGTCACTATCGAAATAAGTACTAGTATCTAATGAATAACTACTAGTATCTATTTAATAGGTACTACTAGTATCTAATGAATAAGTACTATCAAATAATAAGTACTAATGAATAAGTAGCCTACTAGTATCTAATGAATAAGCACTAACTAATAAATAAGCACTAGTATCTAATAAATAAGGACTATATCTAATGAATAAGTACTGGTATCTAATAAATAAGGACTAGTATCTAATGAATAAGTACTAGTATCTTTAAAAAAGGTAGGCCTACTAGTAACTAAAGAATAAGCACTAGTATCTAATGAAAAGGCACTAGTATCTAAAGAATAAACACTAGTAGCTAATGAATAAGTACTAGTATGAAAATAGAGACTAGTAGGTTAAAATGATTAAATGTTAAACCGGCTTGCCATACATTGTTACTAGTGGAAATGTTATTCCTGATATCAACAATTGCCATTGTAACTAGAAGAAATCTAATTCCTGATATCAATTAGTATAATTTTAACTAGTGAAAATTTTGTGAAAAGTTATTGATATCAAGAATTCATATCCTGCGAATGATTAAAAGTTAAAACGGCTTGCCATACGAGCTTTGCTGAGCAAAATAAACCATAAGCCACTCAGCATCAACACTTCCAAGTAGGGATAAAGTTATAAGGTGTTCTAAAAGCACTTGAGATAAATCTAACCAATAAAAGGATTAATTATATTATGCAATAGCCGCCTTTTCAGCCAAGCCATCGAATGGTTTATATCAGCTCTTATATTGGACTGTATGTTCTTGTTTCAAATCTACACAGGCTACTGTGGAAAGACATAATGCAAAGCACAAAACAGAAGTTCATAACATGTTTTGTTTTCCAAACAGCATTATATAGCCTAGACTGTAAAAGATCTAGGCTAACCATATATCAAAAATATTCTTAGTTTTTTTGTATATCACTGTTTGATTATATAACATATTTTGTAACAAAGCTGTTAGAATTTATAAAACTAATTTCCAGATAGTGTCCATAAATACTTTTCAGAGACCTAAAAAAAGGAAATGAAATGGTATCGGCCAACCAATCGCGACAGGTTTGGCTGATCTCTCAGGATATGTGAGTGACTGGTTAGCCTATTTCACTGGCAAGCGTTTCCTCATAGCATATTTAAACTCGTATCACCGTGGACGGGCGAATAACGGATTGCGGTCTTCTGAAAATCTCGACATCATCACCATCGACAAAAAACATCACAGGCGAACAACTCAGCGCGTCAAGTCGCGTTAAGAACGCTCGGGTGTTTGTTTACATTCCGCCTTCGGAGAATCCGTTTACATTGCTCTCTCTCTCTCTTTATCTCTCGGAATGCCTTTGTGACGTCATGGAGGTAGACGTTCTCTTTGGAGTTTTAAAATGAACACCTGTTATGTTTAAAATGGCATGCTCGTTGCGCAAAAAGAAAAAAAGAGAGGCGACGTTTTAAATTCATGCGGACATAGCCTATACTGAAGCTTTCTAATCTCCGGCAGCACAACTAAAGCCGTTTAGGGATCCATTTAGTGATAAGCCCGACTGTTGCTGTCTGCACTAGAGGGAACATGGATGGTGAGGAATTTGCAATGACGAGAGCGATGATGACGATGAGTGGACTCGTATGGCTGCTCTGCTCCCGTGGAAACTAGAAGACACTATCATCCAGCTTGCTATTAATATTTTCTTTAGGATTTTTTCCAGTGAGAATCATATCCATATCCCTGCGCAAACATGGGCAAAGATGAATGCAAGACCATGTTGGACGCTCTGAACAAAGTAACAGCTTGCTACAGGCATCTTGTAATTGCTTTGGGGAGCACATCCGACTCCCAAAACCTGCGTGAGGAACTTAAAAAGACCCGAAAGAAAGCCCAGGAGCTAGCAGTGGCCAACAGGACTAAACTGACGGCTCTTCTGAAGGACAAAAGCATCAGCAAAGATGACCGTGCAGAATACGAGCGCTTCTGGGTGCTCTTCACCAGCAGCATGGATCTCCTGGAGGTGGACATGAAGCGATCCTTAGAGATCGGCCAGGATTTCCCTCTCAAAGTGCCAACGAGACACCTCATCCAAACGGGAATGACCGGCAGCACCACCACCGTGGCTGCTCGAGCCATGAGCGTCCAGAACATGAAGTACGAAGCCGATGCCAACATCGACACGGTGGACCTCAAAGAGCTGGAGACCGAGATCGCTCAGGTGGACCAGATGATGGAGGAGATGGAGATGAAGGTCCAGGTGGCGCCGTGGGCAGTCGAGGCGAAACAGGAGGCGGGAGCCGAGTTGAAATCCACCGTCAGTGTTGGGAATTCATCAGTTGGTGTCATCTCGATCTGCGAGGAGGAACCCAAAGAAACGGTGGAAGGAGAAAGTGGGCTGATGAGAGCATTAGCGGGGATCATTTTCACTGCTGTTTTACTCATAGCTGGAATTCTGGGGTACCTGGTGATTAATTTATAATGTATAGCCTATAGTTTGGCATGTGGATGACAGTGGCTCGAGGGCTTTAGATCTTCTTATGGAGGAAGCAACACGTTGCCAGGCCTGTCAATTTGGGGAGGCAGTTTGTGTTGCTCTTGATGTGGAGATAAACAGATCGCCTGGCCCTGGGTATTAGTAAAATGCATCAGTGTTTAAAGGGAATAGCCAAAAGGAATAAAAACTCTTCTAGTGGGACTGCTTCCTCAGCCCCTGAAGGTTAAACAAAAAAAACTGAACAGAGTACAATCAGAAGTGGGATTGTCTCAGAAAGGGTTTTTTTTCAAGCTAAAATTTGAATTTTAAATGAATTGTCACTTTGGCTTATCAGTAACTGGCCGTTTCATTGCTCTGCAAAGACCTTCAAGTTAAGATTACAACTTTTTTGACCCTCTGACCAAGCATCAGTGGGCTGTGCATATTTAACATGTATTTGTTTCACTGTTTATATAGGTTTCATAATAAGGTTGCTCATTGTGTTTCTGACCTCCCCAGGATTCTTGTTAAGGGATGGTTCATCCAAAAATGAAAATTCTGTCATTTACTCACCCTCAATTTATTCAGCTGAACTTAAAGGAAGATATTTTGACAAATGTTTGTAACCAAACCGTTCTGCGCCACTATTGACTTTCATTATATTTTTTCCCCCCCCTGTTTGGTTCCAGACATTCTTCAAAATACTTCTTTTGTGTTCAGCTGAACAAAGAAATTCATACAGGTTTGGAACTACCTGAGAGTGAGTAAATAATGACAATGTCTCTGAAAATGGCCCATCACTGAATGTGCACTCTTGAAATACGGGCCTTAGGTGTGTTCTGAAATATGAACTGTACTCATGTTAAATTAGTGTACATAAAATATATTTATTATAATAAATGAAGTAAATTATGCTTGTTTTGTTAAGCTTGCTTTGTTCAAGAAGCAATTTATGTTGAGGATTAAGTTATCATGTCTTATTCCAAACTGCTTTCTACTGTCTTTAAAATTGCACTTGGTTTTCTATACTCATTTAAGCATATAGTCTGACCACCCTGGTGTCTCTCAAGCACATTTTAGAGCTGATTCTTGAGTGAAGTTTATTTGTTCATTGTTATTTTTAAATTCTGATCCCCTTAGTTTATTTTCAAACGTCAGGAGAGTACTAAGTATTGGCAGGTACTTCTTGCTAAACTAATTAAAAAGGTATTTATAGAAGATTTTAAAATCCTATTTACTGTTCATTGTAGCCCTGGCACAGACTAGACTCCGTATTTTAAGTCCTCTTTAAACCGAAGAAAGAGTTGTACAGAATACTTTATACCTAATGGTAATATCGTGTCTGAAATGGTAAGAGGATATATTTCCTTTTCATTAATCTATTCCTTATATAAATTGTCTGTTAGTGCATGAAAAAATATGGGTTTAGTCTTTATCGAAAATGTTTCCATAATGATGAAACTCACAGCATGTTCATTTCTTCATCATCATCATCTTCTCCTACATCATAACCAGCTTTTACCCAAGTTTGATCGATTAATTAGTCTCCCGCTGTGTTGTGTGACTCAGGAACCCATAATGATTGGAACAACTGCTTGTTAAGTGGCGCCCTAGAATGGAGCGTCAGGTAAGAAAATCGATGCCATTTAAAGGCCAAGTTACGTATCCAGCTGCTATCTAACATTCATTAGGAAAGACTGAGAGTTAATGTAAACTGCAGCAATGCATGTCAACATATGGCTGATTTATAAGATGCCCATTCATTTCTTTATTTGTTAAATTAGTCTAATTTTGTGTGTTTAGAAATAAAATAAACATCCAATTTTGTAGTTTTTGTGAACATTAAAATAGCTATTTATTGCATGCAAACTTCCAACGATAAATTCCTATCAGTGCATCAGTTTCTGTGGTGTAGGTACCCAGCTAGAATTTTTTTGTTCTAAAAATGTTCTGAGAACATTACCATGCTGTGTTCTAATAATGTTTTCAGCGGGTAGTTTTCTTTTGGTTCCTAAAATGTTCTCTTAAAAGTTCTAATAACATTCTCTAAAAACATTCTAAATATGTTAAATGCTAACATTGTTAGAACATTATTGCATGACGTTCTTATAACATTTTCAGCGGGTAGTTTTCTTTTTGTTCCCAGAATGTTCTCCTAAAAGTTCTAATAACATTGTCTAAAAACATTTTAAATATGTTTATTGCTAACATTGTTAGAACATTATTCCCTAATGTTTTTATAACATTTTCAGCGGGTAGTTTGCTTTTTGTTCCCAGAATGTTCTCTTAAAAGTTCTAATAACATTCTCTAAAAACATTCTAAATATGTTAAATGCTAACATTGTTAGAACATTATTCCATGACGTTCTTATATCATTTTCAGCGGGTAGTTTTCTTTTTGTTCCCAGAATGTTCTCTTAAAAGATGGCATAACATTCTCTAAGAACACTCTGAAAATGTTTTGTGATGACCTTCTATAAAGGTTTAATCATAACATTTTTAAAACATTATCCCCTAACTTTCTTATAAAGTTTTTAGCGGAAGTTTATTTTTGTTCCCAAAATGTTTTCTTAAAACCCCTCAAAAATGATTAGCTATAAAATTGTTAAAGCATAACATTTTATTAATCTCAAAACTAAAACATCAAAATCTAACAGGTTTATAAATGGCATCCACATAAATTATTAGAAGTTCTGCGTACAGTAAATGCCCAACATTACATGAAGAACTCAGTAAAGTCACTCATGCGTCTTGACTCCGGTGTTTGCTCAGAGCACTCATCATCAGTCTTTGCTTGTTTTGGTTCTTGCAGAAAAATAATCCAGGAATCTGTATTAATAGTGTTCTACTATTCTCTCTTCTAGTTGTCCAGTTAGCAGCTGCTCCCCCAGTTAGCAGCATTGAGCTCTGTTCTCTGTGTGCACGGTAGAGTTTTTCCTCATAGCCTAAAAAAGAAGATCATGCAAAAGTGTAAACATAAAGAATACACATACATTAAGATCACAAGCAATATTGACATTGCAAACTTTCAAAATTAGCCAGCCTAATTAGCAATCAGAAATTATGTAAAGACTAATTTATTGAAAGTATAAATATGATAAATTATGAGTATCTTTTTTGTTTCTGTAATTTAAAACATACTTAATCCATATATCCAATATCTTAATCCAATAAAGTTTTAAAAATGGATATTTTTCTTACACAAATGCTTCGCTTTAAAAGGGCTTTATAACCCCGCCAGAGTCATGTGGTGGATTACTTTTATCATGGATGGATGCGCCTTGATAGACGGCCATTCACTGCCATTCTAAAAGTCAGAAGAGTCAGGACATTTTTTTAAATGTAACTCAGATAGTATTCATCTGAAAGAAGAATGTTATATATACCTAGGAAGCCTTAAGAAACACTCTTTCCAATTCATTAACGTTAACCTCTATATGAATTACTGAAATATTATTAACTTTTACTTTCAAAAGACATTAAGATCACTTTTAAGTAAAAATACAGTATTCGTATGCATAGAACACAATACCGGTATCATAGTAGGCTACCTTGGTTGTAAATGGAGACTTATTGTGTCATCGGTAAGTTAATCATCTTGAAACAGTCCGTTTGGAGTCTGCATTAAAACAAATCTAGCTGTTATTCAAAAGTAGCATACACTCAGATTTATTGCGACTGTCATACAATTCTAAAAAAATAGAAAGTTAGGTCTAATACTGAAAGACATCAAGCTAAGAGAAAGCTATGTAAACTGAAAAAATACACACAAAAACTTACAGTTGTGAAAGAGTTCCGTTGACCAGGAGTTCTGTTGTTTTGGGCCAATGTGTCGCCAATTTAGACAACGGACATTCTGCGCCGATTTCTTCAACAGAAACGTTGCTTTATTTGCGCTGTTTGTCGAGTTCAAATGTTCTTACGTCATGGCAACATCGCGCTGTGATTGGTGGTTTTAAACGTCGATCTACAGCGACCTCCAATCAGCTTCTCATCTCTTGTAAACGCATTTGTCGCAACAGTTCAGTTCAGAGTAGCCTAATATATCCTCAAAACACTTTACGTATGCTGTTTTGACAATGTTCCTCTTTTATTATGGAAAATTATGCCATTATTCTATAGGTTAAAATAATTATTCAGTAATTCTAATTTCTCTATCTGTTAAGTTACCTAAACAGCTTCCTTAAAATATCCTTACAATTTTATGAGCTTTTGTTAACATATATTATGAGATTTTTTTTCATCTCAGGTAAATGTCCACAAGACATTTGATGAATGTTGCTTTGATAATGTTCCTCCTTTGTTATTGTGTCAATGATTTATAAAAGATAACAACATTTCGACAAAAAATCCTCAAAATGTATCATGCAAAATGTTTGTTAAAAAGTCAATTTAAAGGAATGTTTTATTAAAAACATTTTATCATCTCAGGACTAAATAATACCCTCAAAAGATTTTGCGAACGTTAATTTGATGATGTTCTTCCTTTGTTATTATGGTAGGCCTACAATATTTTATAAAAGATCATTCTATAAACTTTTACCTCATCAACATCCTCAAAATGTTACATTTAAAACATTCTAGTTTTGTTAACATGTCACATTACAAGAATGTTTTATAAAAACATTCCATCATCTCAGGCCTCAATGATATCCTCAAAACATTTTTCGAACGTTGATTTGATAATGTTCCTCCTCTGTTATTATGGAACATTGTTTCAGTGTTTTATTGAGAACGTTGTAATATCGGTTATCTCAACAACATTCCCAAAACATCCTTAACATGTTACAGTGTTAATGTTTAAACACGTAACATTACAAACATTTTATCAAAAAACATTCCATCATCTCAGGCCTCAATGATATCCTCATAACATTTTGCGAATGTTGATTTGATAATGTTCCTCCTCTGTTTTTATGGGACATTGTACCAATGTTTTATTAAGAACATTGTAATATCTGTCATCTCAACAACATTCCGAAAACATCCTCAACATGTTACAGTGAAAATGTTCTAGTTTTGTTAACACCTTACATTACAAGAACATTTTATAAAAAACATTCCATCATCCCAGGACTAAATAATATCCTCAAAACATTTTACGAACGTTGATTTGATAATGTTATGTTTTTATGGGACATTGTTTCAATGTTTTATAAAAGATCATTCTACAAACCTTTACCTCATCAACATCCTCAAAATGTTAAATTTAAAACGTTCTAGTTTTGTTAAACACGTCACATTACAAGAACATTTTATAAAAATACATTCCATCATCTGCAGGCCTCAATGATATCCTCATAACATTTTGCGAAAGTTGATTTGATAATGTTATTCCTATGTTTTTATGGGACATTGTACCAATGTTTTATTGAGAACATTGTAATATCTGTTATCTCAACAACATTCCGAAAACATCCTCAACATGTTACAGTGAAAATGTTCTAGTTTTGTTAACACCTCACATTACAAGAACATTTTATAAAAAACATTCCATCATCTCAGGACTAAATAATATCCTCAAAACATTTTGCGAACGTTAACCTGATAATGTTCCTCCTCTGTTATTATGGTACATTGTTTCAATGTTTTATAAAAGATCATTCTACAAACCTTTACCTCATCAACATCCTCAAAATGTTAAATTTAAAACGTTCTAGTTTTGTTAAACACGTCGCATTACAAGAATGTTTTATAAAAAACATTCAGTCATCTCTGGCCTCAATGATATCCTCATAACATTTTGCGAGCGTTGATTTGATAATGTTCCTCCTTTGTTTTTATGGGACATTGTACCAATGTTTTATTGAGAACATTGTAATATCTGTCATATCAACAACATTCCGAAAACATCCTCAACATGTTACAGTGACAATGTTCTAGTTTTGTTAACAAGTCACATTACAAGAACATTTTATAAAAACATTCCATCATCTCAGGCCTAAATAATATCCTCAAAACATTTTGCGAACGTTGATTTGATAATGTTCCTCCTCTGTTATTTTGAGACATTGTGCTAATGTTTTATTGAGAACATTGTATAATCTGTTATCTCAACAACATTCCCAAAACATCCTCAAAATGTTACAGTGAAAATGTTATATCTTAGTTTACATTTAACCTTATAGGAACATTATTTGAAATGAGAAAACATCCTTAAAACATTCTTTAAACATTACATTCAAATGTTTTATTTAAAACATTAACCAAACCTCTAGGGAATGTTAGCCAAAGTTCTGAGAACGTTCCCTGTTAGCTGGGTATCAATTTATCAATTACATTGAACCAAGGTGTGTTTTTATTGTTTACTTTTTATTTGTTATATAATTTACATATTATATATATACATTATCAAGTTCTTATATATTAAAGGAACGATTAGTTTTTATGCTGGCTTGCTTTTGCAAATTACTACTGCTCCTGTAGGCCATATACTTGATCTGTGGATGAACAATAGGCCTAAATCAGGTAAAATAATAGTTAAGAAAAATATTTTAAAAAATTATATGCAATTAAATAAACTGTCTTCCACGTGCTATGATTATTTGTGGGAACAGTTTGATGGGATATGCATGGTACACTGTTAAAAAATATTTTGCTGCGTTCCATTTTTAAGTTCAATCAACTTGGATGTTTAACTTTCAACTTAAATTACATTAAACTGACTTAATGAATGAAATCTCGTTTAACTTATTAAAAAAAGTTAAAATAATAAACTTCTTGAACTTATAGTTAAAACTTAACTTATTGATCATTCAATATAATATAAGTAAATGACAAGAACCTTAAAGATGTCTTTATGTCATTAATATGGCCTACTTGACCGCTTAAATGTACACTTTTGTAAAGAAAACGTATTTATTTATGCACACGGTTCCCACGGTCATGGAAAAACAGGACAAATGCATGCATGTTTCTATGGACAATATGCCTATCTAAACAAATTAATTTGAAAGCACTTGACAAATAAGCAGCGAATGTCTGCAGCTTTGCAAAAAGTTACATCAGATGATAACATGTTTTGCTCAGTGACAAAATCTTTTCTGTTAGAAATTGGTGTTGCCGTAACTTTTGCACTCTAAAGCATTATAAATCTGGCCTGCCACCTAGTGGACAAATACAAAATAGTGCACTTAAATACTCTCCTTTACAGGGACTTTCTGCATGGGCTAAAATTTGACAGAATTAGTAAATGTGAAGATTTCCTTCACTAAGCAGAAGCCTTAATATTTTAATCAAAAATGAACTCGTTATCACTGAAAGAAAAAAGGATCAGTTTAGTCTCTGATATAGTTGGTTTGTTTGTTTATTTGTCTTTAGATGTGCATGTTTAAACAGAATTTTCCACTTTATTTGTGTCTTGGTAAGTACAATGGCAATATCCAAAACCCTTGTCCCTGTGGAGACATTTTTTGGTTCCCATTAGAAAAATAGCATAGGCCTATGTGTTTTTTGAAAATGTAAAAATGTAGAAAGTGTTCTGCTGGGTAGGGTTAGTGTAAGGAGATTGAATGTACAGTTTAAAAAACATAATTGCTATGGAAAGTCCCCAAAAAACATGAAAACATGAAAAGTGCGTATACACCAAATTTCCAGCGTACACCTGGCGTACATGGTACACCCAAAACCACGGTGACTTTTTTTTTTTCTTTATTGAAACATTTTCAAAGAAAACAATCACAATATAAAACAAATAAACAGAAACAAATACAAAAAGGCAACAATCAGGGGTATATAACTAATCAGAAAAGAAAATACATATCAAAGGAAAAGATTAAAAGATTTCAGTTGTTTTTAAAGCCTTGATACAAGAGTCAGAGATAGTCCCAAAGTAATGTTGTATTTCAATAAGCAAAACATTGAAAAGTGGTTTCTGACCTGAGAATTTACATTTATTTATAGAAAATATTGTCAAGAAAGAAGATTAAGAAGGAATATTTTGTTTTTGTGTAATCAACAAATCCAAACAAACCATTTTCCCAACATAGAGAAAATTCCTTATCAATGTTTTCAATAACAAACCGGGAAAAGTTTTTCCACAATAAATTACAATAATGGCAAAGCCAAAATAAATGCACTATAGTCTCTGGGTGCTGTTTACAAAAAGAACAGTTTACATCAATATCTTCTTTAAATTTCTTTAAGAAGGAATTAACTGGATCGATGAAGAATTTGAAAGGAAACTTCCCTTATCTTATTAGTAATTGAATATCTATTCGGAATCAGCCAAACCTTTCTCCAGACAATATCAGGAACAAACGCATTCAACTGTGACATTTGGGATTGCTATACATTCATTCAGAAAAAATTGGCGTATCGATTAGAAGAAGTGGATGAAAAGCAAAATTTCCCCATTGTAACATTAGGATCTAGAGAAGGTAGAGAAGAGGGGATATATTGAAGCAATCTAACTCCAGATGGTACGGCATCAAAAACAATAGCAAATTCTTTAGGGGTAATGGGAATATTAAAACGACTAAGAAATTCTTTATAATTTAATAAGTGGCTATTATCATTAAATAACTGACCAGCGCTGAAAGAAAAGAGATTTGTTTTTATACAGAACATCACGGTTATTCCATATAATATATTTATGAGGAGAAAGATGTGCGTGTATATCATAGACCAGGCGAGAAGGCTTATGAAATTTAGACAATTTAGCTGGCATTTTTCAACATTATAATTACAAAGCAATAAAAAAATTGAAACCATCAAATTTGGAGAAAATATAATGTGGAATGAAGCCAACCAACCAGATGTTGGATTTTTAAGAAAGCCTTTGGCCCAATTAATTTTAAGGGTATTATTAAAGGAGAACTCCGGCGAACAATTCACCTTTGGTCTAATAAAACATCGGTACATAGTCAACCGTTCTCTGAGATTTGTTTTCATGATAATCGAATTTAAAGAGTTTTATCTCTAAAAACTGTTTAGCGTATAATGCTAGTAATGGGGGCATTGACTAAGTAAAAGAAATCGCTAGTTTATACCACTAACAAGGCTCAAAATAGCCCCACACTAACGCAGTAACATAATGAGGCTCCATACATGCAAAACGAAGCATTGAGAACTTTGTAAGTGTACAGGCCGTTTAAT